TGCATGTCATAAGCATACCAACTCAAAGAACCAGTTCAGGAGGACACCATGACCAATGGTATCAAACACTGCCAACAGTAAACATGAAGAGCAACAAGCTTTGCTTGTCTCTCTCTGACAAAGATCATCGTACAAAGCAAACAAGGCAACCTCATTACCAACAACTGTGCCAGAACCTCGACTGATATAGATCCAGAAAATCAGTCTCATCCAAGAATGCCTGGACCTGGTCAGCAACTGCCCACTCAAGAACCTTGGCCAGAAGGCAGATTTGTGCACCCAGCCTAAAATTGGCCAGATCTTCCAGATTCAGAGAGGACTTTTTAAGGTGTGGTTTTATTCCACCTCTTTCAAGCAACTCATGACCACTGACACTCATCTGGAGGTATTTATCACTTCGCTGGACCAAACAGCTGTCCATTCAATGACAGATTTCACAAATATGAAGAGCAACAATTCAACATGCAAGTGATTGTGTTTACTCACCCAAGTATCTTGTCCTTATCCCAAAGCTCTACAAATTGAAACTCATCCAATAATATCAGAGCAGACAGCACTCTGGACATCTGATCAGACTGATCAGCTAAAAAAAGGGAGTCAACATGCTGATATAAGCATGCGATTTTATCCTCATGTTTACATCAGGCCGCCAAGAGCTCAACTACCTCCTTTGGGCCAATGTACAATAGGCCTCAAACTACAAGGAAAAGCTCCGCTGGACAGCACGAGAAGAATGTGATCTAGTGCTTCTTTGCTGCTTTCAACACCACAAAAAAGTTTCAGTGTTGATCACATATTGGTGATTTGATTGCATTCATCAGGAGCCATTCTCCACTTGTATACTTGATGTCTCCCATTTTTCTTCATCATTCTAACCTGCATAGTATAGTATGGAACCACCAGATTTTGCGAAGAGATGGTGCTCAGAAACAATCTTGTTAACTTCCTGACCATCTCCATATTCCGTAGGTTAGGCAGAACTTCAAAAACTTTTTTGGTTGGATTCCCCCTCCCCAAAAACCCCCCACATGGAAACCAATTGGAACATCAGCTTCCATCACGGTAGACCATCTTAAATTGGATATATAATGGAGTAGAAAAAGGGTATTGAAAATAAAAATATATTGCAGTACTATATTCTCCTTGTGTATTTCTAAGTAAAGCAACATTAGAAAAATACCCCAATGACTGACTGAAAGGGGACATGATCTTACTCAAACATTTTACAGGCTGCTACATCAAACAGGGCAAAAATGTGCTCACTGCTTCCCCAGAGGGCAGGATTAGTTCTAACAGCTTTAAGCCACAGAAGGGTATAATTCATCTGAACTTTAGGAGAAACATTTTGATGGTAATGGCAGTTTGACAAATGAAATAATTGCTTAGACAGACAGTTTGTGGCCTCTCCCTCCCCTAAGGTCTCCAAGCAGAGGACAGACCATTGCTCGTTGAGTCTGTAGCAGCCCCTGATCAGTTGCTTGGAGCAGGAAGTTGGTGTAGATCGCTGACAAGACCCCTTCGACTTTTTAATTCTTTGAACTTCCAATTCTTTCTCATCCAAATGAAACTCAACTAGGACTTTCCACCACTCAGGGAAGGGAGAGTGGACAATATCACCTCCTCACAGATGGAAGGAAACAATTCTATAAGCGTCTCCCACCGGGCAGAGTCCGCTCTTCCCCTTGGTATACACCTGAATTACGGGTGATGAAGCGAGCTGGGAGACGGCTAGAGCATAGGTGGAGGAAATCACGGGATGAATCTGACCAAACACACTTGAGAGCCCACTATCGGGCCTATGCTGTGGCGGTGAAGGCGGCGAAAAAGAAGTTTTTTTCCGCTTCCATTGCCTCCTCACAATGCCGTCCGGCGGAGCTTTTTCGAGTGGTGCAAGGCCTGGTTCGCCCGGGTCCTAAGGAAGATCCGATGCCACCCTCAAAGGCCCGCTGTGACGACTTTGCCAGGCATTTCAGGGAGAAAATCGCTCAGATTCGTCACGAGCTGGACTCCACTAATGAATCAGAGGTCTCTGAGGAGTCGCCAATGCCACCGTCTGGTCCAAAATTACTGGAGGAATTTCAATTATTGCGGCCCAATGATGTGGACAAGGTGCTTGGAAGAGTACGTCCCACCACTTGCCTATTGGATCCTTGCCCGTCTTGGTTAATAAATAACTCCAAGCACGGGATTGGGACCTGGATTTTGGAAGTGGTTAACGCTTCTCTGAGGGAGGGTCGAGTGCCTGCCCCTTTAAAGGAGGCGGTAATACGACCGGTCCTGAAGAAAGCGTCACTGGATCCAGAGATGGCCACTAACTATAGACCTGTGGCCAACATCCCGTTTCTGGGCAAGGTGCTGGAGCGAGTGGTGGCGGGACAACTCCAAGCACTCTTGGAGGAAACTGATTATCTGGATCCTTTTCAGTCCGGCTTCAGACCCGGGTACAGTACTGAATCTGCCTTGGTTGCCCTGTACGACGACCTGTGCAGGGAGAAGGACAGGGGGAGTACATCCCTGTTGGTTCTTCTGGACCTCTCGGCGGCTTTCGATACCATCGACCATGGTATCCTTCTGGATAGACTTGCGGGATTGGGGGTTGGAGGCACTGCTTTGCAGTGGTTCCGCTCCTATCTCGACGGTCGATTCCAGAAGGTAGTGCTGGGGGACCATGTCTCTACGTCATGGCAGCTATGCCATGGGGTACCACAGGGCTCCATTCTATCCCCTCTGCTATTTAACATCTATATGAAACCGCTGGGAGAGGTCATCAGGAGGTGTGGGCTGCGGAATCATCAATACGCTGATGATACCCAGCTTTACCTCTCATTCTCTACTAATCCAGGTGAGGCAGTGGTTGTGCTGAACCGGTGCTTGGCCGAGGTAAGGGAATGGATGAGGGCCAATAAACTGAAACTCAACCCAGACAAGACGGAGGTCCTGTTGGTTGGCGGATCGGGTTTCGGAGAGGGTGGATTTGACCTGGTCCTGAATGGTGCAACACTCCCTCTTAGGGATAAGGTCCGCAGCTTAGGAGTACTCCTCGACCCGGAGCTTTCTTTGGAAGCTCAGGTGACAGCGGTAGCAAGGAACGCCTTCCTTCAGCTTCGGCTGATTAATCAGCTGCGCCCCTACCTGGAATACGACTAGCTGGCGACGGTGACACACGCGCTGGTGACTTCCCGCCTAGACTTCTGTAACGCGCTTTACGTGGGGCTTCCCCTGAAGACAGTCCGAACACTTCAATTGGTGCAAAATAGAGCTGCCAGGTTGCTGACCGGGACGGGGCGTTATGCCCACATGACTCCAGTCCTCCATCAGCTTCACTGGCTTCCCATTGAAGCCCAGGCCCAATTCAAGGTGTTGATTATGACCTACAAAGCCCTAAACGGCTTGGGTCCTGGCTACCTGAACGAGCGCTTACGTCCGTATATGCCCGACCGCCCTTTGAGATCTGCGGGAGAGTCCCTTCTCCGGGAACCCTCCATGAAAGAAATTAGGAGAGTAAGTACCCGGAGGAGGGCTTTCTCTGCGGTGGCGCCCAACCTATGGAATTCACTCCCCAAAGAGGTCCGCCTGGCACCGTCGTTACTGGTTTTTCGGCGCCAGGTAAAGACCTTTTTATTTAAACATCATTTCAATTGTTAAAACATATGATCTGGCCTGGGCAACTTCTTCTTCCTTCTCTTTCTCCTCCTATATTTTTATTTTATACTGATAATTTTAATTTTGTATTTGTAAATCAATGTATTTTTTGTATTGTTATATTTAATGGTAATTTATTATGTACTATTGTATTTCAATGTATTTTATCATGTTGTAAGCCGCCCCGAGGTTTTGGCAAGGGGCGGCATAGAAATGTTATAATAATAATAATAATAACAATAATAATAATAATAATAATAATAGATTAGAGTTGCCCCTTGCTCTGTAATTGTTAATTTTCAAATATCTTTACCCACACCAATATTATATAAATAAAGTAGACAGAAAAATGCTGATATTGATTGGTGACTTTGGTCAAGAAGTTTTTCATATTCCTTGTTGTATTAAGAAAGATTGCAAACTCCATCAATTCCATTCTCTACATTCCAACACTTCTTCCTGTTCCTTTAGCCTTTTCTAATCCAATGCTACCATTCAGCTAAAAAGATTCTTTTGAACTCATATACAAGACCATGCTCATTGAGTTAGGATTCTTTCAGCTGGAGTAATTGGCATAATTACCATACTTGCAATCCCTACCATAGAATTAAAAAAAAATCTACACATGTATACATGTGCTGGGAAATGCAAATTTCTTTTACCCCTTGTTAACCCCCGGACTGTGGGTACAACAGAATGGTTAATGCTTGGGGGTGGGGAGGGGGAATCTGTCACATGGCTGTGATGCCCCCTTCTTCCTTTCTGCAGAATCATGCCGCAATGGCAGACAATCAGATGCTTGCTAGAACATTAAATTATTCATGTCACTTAAAGGCTGCAGCCCTTTTTCAACAGTGCAATGCTTGAATTGATTCCAGTGTCACTGGCAATGCCATTGGCTTCCATTGTGATAGGATGCTCCTATCATGAAGCCAAAGCAGAAAAGCAACCAGCATAGGAACCTGGTTCCCATGGAGGGCTGACCTGAAAGCTCCACCCAGTCTACAGTGATGAGCAAAGACTGTTTTCCAAGCAGAGCTACAGAAAAAAGGCAATACCAATTCAAATCCTTTTCATGGTGAGGAACCTCATCCCAGTGCAAAATGTGGATGCAGTGGAATGATGGAGAGCTGTGACTTGTCCTTCCAAAATGGATGGGGCTCTAAGGTACTGCCAAAAGGAGGATGCTGCCTTTTAATCAGGAGGTAGAACTGAATTCAGTGAAGATTCTGATCTGAGAGGAGCTAGTATTGAAAGCAAAGACAGGAAACAATATCCAGGATGCTAACCCATAGGAATCCCAGTTGCTGCATCTTTCAGAAGTCTCCCACAGAGATAGCTGGTCTGAAAAATTGCAGGCATCTTCTGAAGAAGACCTCACTCTCATCATGATCTATGGCTCTTTCAAAATAGCTACAAAAGCTAGGTAAGTTGGAGCAAACATAATTTCAATACATTGTAACTTAGGATGGAGTTGCATCTATTTTTTCCCGAAAAATCTATTTTCAGGAAGGACAGACTTAAATGGGGGTGGGGTGGGGGATGAGTTTTCAAAATTACTTATATCTTTGAGCAATCGCTAAAGAACTCTATGTAGCTACAATTCTTCTCTGGTATTGCTGTACCAGAATGATACTGTTGTCTTGATCCACTCAGAACAGCTTGCATCTTATTAAAATAGATACTCATAATAAGTAGGGACAAACAGCTAGCACAGTGTTAGCCAATCAGCATCTGATCTGTAAGAAAAGAGAGGCAGCCCCTTAGCAGAAGAATCTGCTAGGAGAATCTGCTCTCACTGAAATTCATAATTCTCACTGGAATTCAGTATTTTAGCAACAACAGTTGCATTTACTGCAAATCTGAGGAAGATGGTAGCAACATGAGGAAAGGGGGAGCATTGAAAAATTCTAGAAAAAGGTAACGAGGATTTTTTAAAAAATGTGTTTTGCATTTTGCCACACATAATGCTGCTGCTGGAGGGTCTGTTAATGTTGTCTTCAGAATTTGCAAATAGATTGCATGAATATTTTGAGTGAGTATCAGAACTTTTGGCATGGCATGGAGAAACAGGCCTTCTCTACTTGAGAAGTTTAATCCACTCTTTTGTGGAGGGTTTCTCTACACAAAACTTTTATTGTGTGCTTGTGATCCTTGATTCACTGAAGTTTGTGCAGTCTTGCTACAGCAGTGTTGTTGCTTAGCACTTCTCCCATGTTTTCCAGACATCTTTGGAGAGCAAAGAAAGTCAGCTATGAAAATTCAGACTGAAGTAAGCTACAACAAAAGTATCCTGAAAACTATAACATCTGCTTGTGGGTGGCTAACAGACTATGTAGAAAGGCAGAGAACGCCAAACCCTGCTGGGAGGCACATATGTAAAGGATGAACTTTTCCTTCTGCAATGCAACTGAAAGAAGATGTCTCAGCAAGGCAGGGCGTTCACCCTGTCAAGTAGAGAAGCCTCAAGGCTTCTTCCTTTTTCATTGTGGAAGCAGGGGTGGAGGCATAGGCAGTGGAGACACATTCTATATTCCAGTTTTTTTTCCTGGATTTGCATTTCTCTGCCTTTCTGCATATTCTACTAAACAACCAGTTGGTGGCACTGAGGTATTTGCGGATTTTTATGAAGCATTTGTTCTTGTTTGAAGTTTAATACCTGATTTTCCTTGCCCAAAGAACCCCACAAAAATGGCGGGGAAACATGGGTGGAGGATGGAATCAAGAAAAGGCCCTGAAACTTCTGTGAGTGAAGGATCTCTCTCTCACACATACAATAAATGCTTCATATAGAGAAGCCTATATAAATTTCAAGCCCATCGCACTCATTAGAAATACCAAGATAAAACTGCGGTAGGAACATTCACAAGGTTCAAGCTGTAATTCTATATGCACTGACCTGGAAGTAAGCACCACTGAAAACAATACTAATTGCTTTTGATTAATATCCATAGGTTTGCACCATCAGCAGTAACCAGATGCTTTTACCCCACATAAGCAACACCATTTTTTCCAGGAGGACTGAAGCAACTCAAGAGCAGAGATATACGGAAGAGCCTTGCAAAGAACCCACCCTATTTCTGGGCACGTGGAGGAGAAATTCTCCAACAGTCTCTTGTGGGTAGGGCTCACTCTTCACCATGGCAGCAGCACAGCTTCTTTCTGTTCACCTGAGTTGTGTTTTATTTTGCCAGGTGCAACAAGTGGCAACAGTGGAAACTGTGTGTTAGCAGCCCGGCTACATCCCCTGCATTCCTCATTGCCCTGGACCAAGGGCCCTTCTGTGACACTCTGTGGGGGGAAATGGTGGCCACTACAAAAAAGACCCAGCTGGAGAAAAAATCTCAGAAATTTGCTCAGGAAAATGTCTTCTGAGAAATGTAGGCTCAGCCTTACTTGGACCCTTCCAAGCACATCTCCTTATCCACATTTACAGTGCAGCAGTGAAGTCTTGATTCAAGGCTCCTGACCTTCTGTTTAGGAGGAGAGTGATAGGTTATTGCTTCTTGCTGAAGGCTTTGAAAAGCAAGAGTGTAAAAGAGTCTCTTTGTGGTGGGAGGTGGGGGAAGAGAGAGAGAGAGAGAGAGAGAGAGAGAGAGAGAGAGAGAGAGGAGAGAGAGAGAGAGAGAGAGAGAGAGAGAGAGAGAAACAGAGTTAAGTGTATTCCTAATACTGAATATGTTTTTATTCAGATCAAAGTTTCAAGGACCAGTCAATATGCTGAAGGAGATTCAGGTTTGCCTGTGTATCACGTTTTTGTCTGCATTTGGAATATTCTATGAGTTTTACCAAGCACCAGGATGCCTCTTTTCCTGCAAACCTATGCCTAAGCACTTCCTGACACACAAAGATATCATGGCCCAGGGCAGAAGCATAATCCTTCTGGAGACAACCGACCATTTACAGCCTTCACCACTGGTCTTATGTTCTTTGGAATCTGCTGCCAGAATCTATCCAGACAGGCCTGTCATTTACTTTATGAAAGGGTTGGGCAATAATACGATGGAGGATCTCAAGTCTTCATGCCCACCACTTTCTTTCCTATCTGCTGTGAGAAATATTTTCATTTTCCCCCTTCAGATGGACAGTTTGTTCCAGGACACACCTCTACTCCCGTGGTACTTGCAGGTAAAGGGGAAAGTGGGGATGCACAGATAATCAAAATGCAACTTTCTGGCAGATGGTGATCTTCCTGCAGGTAGGGAAATAGTCATTGGTATAAAGATACATTTAGCCCCCTGTTCCTACCAAAGGTCTGATTTACAGCAAGGCTGAAATGTAATTTTAAAGGTAGATGTAGTGAAAATGGATTTCACAGTTGTTGCACCTGACATGGAAAGGGGTTGCCAATTTTGCAATCTTCATTGCATGCACATTTGTGGACTTTCTCTCAGCTTGGCTCACCTTCCAAGACCGGGCCAAGCATGAGAGATGGGTTCTACTAAGTTCATGAATGCTAGATAGATGGGTTCTCCTAAGTGTCATCTCAGACCTACCTTCCCTCCCTGCCAAGCTGCTTGCCCCCCACTCCCATTTTTTTCTGCTGTTAAGGCCCAGCTGCAATCTCAGCGGTACAGGCAGGTCGATTCCTTCTGCACCAGCAGTGGGCAGAATGCTTGGACTTTGGAATCCCAGCTCTGAGATCACAGAATCTTTGAAGAACTTTGGAAATTTGAAGACTCCTATGACCTCTCAAGCAATGCTTTGAGGGCATAGGATTGAGCCGTAAATCATACTGACTTTTTAAAAGCCAGTATATTTTGTTTTGTTTAAACTCTCTCTTGGGATTTTTTTTAAAAATGGCAATCTATGACAGAAGAAAATTATGGATGCTTTTTTATGCCTAATTCTCACACATCCTGGTTAGCACAAATAATTCACCATTTGCTTAGCTACCAGGATAAGTGGTGAATGGCAACACCTTGATTGGCTGAGGGACTGCCCTTGATTGGCCTCAGGTGTGACTATATAGGTGGGAGACCCTACAAGCCTTATCCAGTGAGTCTTTGCATCCAGGATAGACTCTGCAGGCTCATGTGTGTGAAACCAAAGCTGATCCACAATACCAAGGCTCCTTTATTGTGCAAAAATTTAAAGGAAGGGGAAAAAGCAGTCAGGAACTAAATGATATCCCATGACTCTGTGCCCATTTTGAACTTTGTAGGTCAATGCAACACAGGAGAAGAACTGGATCTATATTATCTCAGATGCAATCAGGCTTGCAATGCTGTGGAAATATGGTGGAATTTATATGGACACAGATGTCATTTCCATCAGACCTATCCCTGTAACCAACTTTTTGGCAGCCCAGTCTTCGCAATTCTCCAGCAATGGGATCCTTGGTTTTCAGCCACATCATAGGTTCCTCTGGGATTGCATGAAAGATTTTGTTCAGAACTACAATGGAAATATCTGGGGAAACCAGGGGCCTTATTTGATCACAAGGATGCTAAAGAAGATATGTAATCTCACCAATTTTGAGGATGTGAAGGATCAGAGATGTCAGAATATTTCCTTCTTGCACCCTGAGCGCTTCTATCCCATCCCGTTTCAACAATGGATGCAGTACTATAAGGTATGGGATTCAAGGCCGAACTTCAATCATTCCTATGCTTTGCACTTGTGGAACTTCATGAACCAGGAAGAGAAAAAAAATGTAACTGTTGGAAGTAACACACTAGTGGAAAACCTATTCAAAACATATTGTCCTACTACCTACAGGAGCCTTGCTCAAGCTGCACAAAGAAGTGAACAGATGTCTCAAAATAAAACAAGGTGATAATCTCCAGTAAAACACAGTTGGATAGTTCTACCCAGCTTTTCACCACATCATGACCTCCATTGTCATGTCTGTTTCTAAAGAATGCTTTCCTGGTTTTGATTCTTATTTTTTTAAGAGTGGGGAAAATTCAGTGTTATTTCTGAAAGCAAAACAAAAGCCATTTCCCATTTGTGTAATTCTGTAATTCCACTGTACTAAAACATCTTCTAGAGATTATGTAGTGGAAAATCAGGAAAGGAAAAGCTCTATGTACAGAGCCTGGTTCTCAGTTCCACAAAGAAACCAAAAGTAGATGCAATGGATTAGCAGCAATGGCTCTTATACTTTACTATTCACATAATACTAGGTATATAATCTAAATAGACCTTGCAAGTTAATTGTTAATGTTATCAAGACTAGAAGGAAATGAATTGATCATTAAGATTGTGCCCAAGACATATAGAAGTCTTCTGGAAGCAAAGACCCCCTTCCACACACAGCTTCCTTTCATGATCTAAAAGGGACAATGTGGATGCTGATATTACCAAGATAGCACCTATCCATATAACAGAGTCTCACTGGGGTCAGGAGACAGGTCAGTTTTCTGCTTTTACATTTTCAACTGAGCATTATTTTCTAATTTAATTCTAAGATGCTCCGACCATAAGAGAGGTAAGGCAAAAAGGAATCAATGAGTGCCATGGAGCCTGCACAAGCAGCTAGGTTTACGTAAGGCCCTCTCTGAACAGGGATGGAAGATGCCAAGCTGCCCTGGTGTGACATGCCAGGGCTTCCTATGGCTGCAGCTTACTGGTCACACCCCTGGAATCCTACTGTGCGCCACCCCCTCCCCACCCTTCAGTCCCTGTCCTTCCCAATTTGGGGCATCTGCCTCTTGTGAAGGGATAGATCTTGCCCAGTTTCAGACAAAAGGCTGCTGGGCCTTTTATGGAAGGGGGACCCTTAAATTGTGAAGATTTTGCCCTGTTTCTTTCTTTTCTAAGTATCATTGCCTTTGTTCAGTAAAGTGCATGTATGCCAATTGTAAAAAACCTGTAAGAGCACTGCCTTTCCATTTTGGTACATTTATGTATTCATTGCACTTGTATGCTGCCCCATAGCCCAAGGGCTCTCTAGGCAGCTTTCTCTCAGTCTCAGTCTCGGTCTCTCCCTCCACCACCACCCCCCACTTCCCTTTGTCCTTTCAGTCGCAAGTTCAGTTTGTGGCAAACTTGGAGAATTTCCCAAGTCTTCAGTTTGGTCCATTCTGAACATGTGAGGTTTCCTTTTAATGCCATTTCCCCTAATTGCTCTTTTTCCAATACACCTAAATTGGAGAACTCCACTGCAAGATTCAAAGAAGTACCCATTCCAAAGGTTACCCGAGTGTCGCTTGGCAGAGTAGTTCAAAGCGAATGCATTCCTTCCTCCTCCCAATTTGTGATGTGTAACGGTGCTGCAGCAGGCCAGGACAGTACCCCTGAGACCCCAGCTTATGCTCCCTGGCTGCCTAATGGAGCTTCCGATCTCTCAATGCAAGCTGCTGGCATACAGCATATTTCACAGGAGGGAGGCAGCTAGGCAGAATGTACTAGAAGCAATTGAGTATGGATAGTGCGACAGGGTGGAGCCCCACATGCCTGATCAGGAAGGGGTCAAGCCACTGAAGAGGCAGCTGAACACCAGCTCCCAGCCACAGAACACAGGCGCACTCCTCTTGCACCTGCTGCCACCCGTGATGGATGGAGCAGTCACAGAAAGCAAAGAACAGCGTCCAATCCATTGTTTCCAGTGGCTGCCTCCAAGAGCAATGTGGCTGGAGAACTCTGGTAAAGGCATTCCTGGGGAGAAGAGACTGGTCAGTCACAAAGTTAGACCCAGTCTTCTCCCTGGTCTGTAGCTTTCCACTTATGGAAAGCTTGTGGGAGGTTGAAAAGTGTGTGAGGTCTCAGAAAGCACCCTTTCAGGTGGGTCGAAGCCTCAAGTGGAGCCAGCTCTGCCTGGAATGATTTCAAATTCAACTTGCAGTCCATATGTCAGTAGTCCTCCAATATCTCCAGTGCAAAGATATGTGTGTCAGATCCATGCCTTGCTCAAGGAATTTGTAAGACCCTTGTTCAACAGCCAACATTAACATCAACTGATTACTCTATTTTTCGCTCTATTAGACACACTTTTTCCCCCTCAAAAGGAAGGGGAAATGTCTGTGCGTCTTATAGAGCGAATGCGTGTGTGCCCGACACCCGAGATGCTGCCGGCCACCTGCACCATGTGGCACCACCTGGCCAGCATGCACTTGGCGCGCCCTGCTCTGCCCCCCCCCCCCCGATGCAGGTGAGAGCTGTGCCGCTCAGGGGGAGGCGGGCGGAGGAGGAGGAGCTGCGGCCTTTAACCCGCCGGCCGCACGGAGAGCTCGGAGAGCCAGACTGCTCACCCCCACCTCCCGAGAAGACCTGCCGCTGCCACTGCCGCCGCGCCACCCAGAAGACCACCACTGGCATGCTGCCAGCCCAGCTGCACCACACCTGGCCGGCACGCGCTCAGCGCGCCCTGCTCCGCCCCCCTCCTCCGGTGCAGGTGAGAGCTGTTAATCTCAGGTCGGTGTGTGTTTTCAAATGGCAACCCGTCTTTTAATGAAGCCCATGGGGAAGTGATGGGGAATGTGCCTGTGATTATCAAGAAGCTTTCCATGGATCAGTTATCTGTTAGTTGATCAGACACATTTTTTTTTAGGATCAGTGGATATTTGAAAAGCATTACCTTCGTGTATGAAGTTTATTCTTCAAAGGCTACTTAGTCCGCTGTGTGTTTGATTTACCGTACAATATCTCATTTTTTGTCAGAAGTTTTTTTCTATTATTTACTAGTAGGGCAGCGTGGACATTACTGGCTTTTTTAGATTTGTTATTGAATTGTCTGCAGCAGCTCTTGTATAACTGGTGTAGATTGTGGAGTCCTTCAATAATTCCACTACTGACTAAGAAAGTGATGTCAGTGATTGTGAGCAACAGAGCTTCATAAATTCTGACTCTAGTGATGATGAGTTCTATGGGTTCAATGAAAACTAGAAGAGTACTCGAACTTTAAAGTCTCTCTTTTGTTAATGACAGTGATGATGGTTCTTAATGCCACTGTTGACTGCTGTTCACTTTACAAGGTTGAAATACGGTATTACTGTATTCTGTTATAGTTTATTAAATAGTTTAGTAAACCATTTGATTCAGAATATTTTTTTTCTTGTTTTCCTCCTCTAAAAACTAGGTGCATCTTATGGTCAGGTGCGCCTTATAGAGCGAAAAATATGGTAGTTTTTAAACAAGTACTTCCTTTGTGTTTTCCAACATTATAAAAATGGCCCTTTTAATTAGTTCTTTCCTGCACTTCTTTCCTCCTGACCAGTAGCATTATTGCAATCATGTTTTTAAACTATTCATATAGTTTAGTTTGGCTTTCATTGGCATAATTTCACTTCTGTAAAAAAAAGAAAAAAAGAAAAAGAAACAAAAAATAAGGATAAATATACACATAAATGTGTCCTTTGCAACTTCATGCAAAATAAAATTAGTCTTCAAAAAGAAAACTCAAAGGCTAAATTCCAGTAATAGGAGCACTTCACTGCACACAAGGCCTTGGAAATGGCACTCTTTGCAACCAGTAAATACAAGAAAAGGCATACAGAAAAACAATGTACCACCAACAGCAGCACAAGCCATTCTTTTGCTAGATCCACCAATGCAGCTTCGCCAACCCATACAGGATACCCTCGTACTACAATTGTGTTTGTAGGCAGAAAAATCACTAAAAAGCAGTTCCTCAAAAAGTTGGGAAGATAAGATGAAAACAAGGGAACGCAGTGACCTGAAAAGAATGTCTTCTGGACTCTCCATAATGAGTGAAAAAAAAGGATGAAGGCAGCTCTAGAAAAACATTGCTATATACGTATGAACTTAGAACTGTTACTTGCTACAGATAATTATACATTGTGCAACTGTTGTTATTGAAGGTACGCATGATTTTGTTAAAGAAATAATGCTGAAAGAGCTCCGGGGGGGTGGGGGTGTTATGGTTATATATACTATTTTGTGTGAATTGTTGCATCTCTTAGTTGCCTCGCTGTTGATAACCATAGTGAAGACCTCCAGAAGTAGCACGTAAACTTGATTAAGGGTGCAATCATGTGAGTGTTCAAACCAAAAGGAGTTCTACACCTCCATTGGCTGGGGCATGTTAAGTGCCACAGGATTTTTTTTTTTTTAGTCAGAACATTTATTGGATTGTGCCTTAAGTCTATAATTCTTTACCTATTTACTTGGGGGTATAATCCATTGAACTCATTGGGGCTTTCTCCTGAGAGTTATGCATAAGATTGCACTGGTAATTGATAGAGGAATCATAGGTCCTGACGTGAATGATGATCTCAGGCACTTTATTTTCATGCAGATAGGTGCTTTTTCTTCCTGCTGTATAATAGATGAGCTCTGGACAACTGGTTGGTGATGACAATGTCACTAAATGCAGAAATAAAAGAATTTACTAACTACTGAGTTGTCTGTATGATACTCTTCCAGTTCCTTGGATGGATTTTCCATATGGACACCATATAGGAATTCCTACATAACATTGAAAAGACAGAGCAGCTTCCTTTCTTTAAGAATTGTGGTGATACATGCTTGTCTGCCAAAAGAGGTACTCAAGGCTGCCCAACAAGGCTGCAGTGTGGCATAATAGTTAGAGTGTTAGAATGGAAGACGTGGGTTCTAGTCCAACTCAGCCATGAAACTCAGTGGGTGATTTTGGCCAGTCACTGATTCTCAGGTGAACCTACCTCAAAGTGTTCTTGTGAGGATAAAATAGAGAGAAGGATAAAGTCACTTAGGCATTCTGTCAGGAGAAAAGGTGGATGTAAATGTAAAACATATGACATTTTGTGAACTCCTAATTCTTCAGTAATTGTGCAGTTCCCTGCTTGGCAACCTCTGCTTTGAGACACTAAACAAGGTACTCCTCTCTCTGTCCCCACCCTCCTCCACTCCCTGCACTTCAGTTCAGCCTCTGGGGAAGCCACAAAGAAGCGACTCCTGCCATGGGGCTCTTTCAGATGAGGAAGTGCAGGCAGCCTGAGAGGCTGCAGGGTCAATGGAGAGACTTGAAAAGAAATCACACACGTGACATCCTCAACCACCTCCCAGTCATTAGGTAAGCTCAGAAACACGATAGAAATGAATTATAAGGCAGCCTCAGAACAGGGCAGAACAATAGAGGCCTCTTTCAGGGGAGGGAAGCTTTGGGGGGATCAGAGGACAGAGTTTGGCTCAGCACAAGCCCCAGGACAGGACACAGCACCTCCCTCACACCTGCATTGTGGCAGATGCAAAATGGGGTCCAGCCTGCCGACACAGCTGATGCTGTTGCAGCACAAAGGACCCAGAAACCTTCAGGAAAAGGAGAAAGAAGACTCACTGCAACCCATGAACCCTACCTGTTGGGAATTTCTTTTCTCCCTAGAGACATTCAGTGAAATTCTGTGCAGTTCCCCCCACCCTGCACCAGTTTTAGTTCCCACAAATAGGTGGGAGAATTTCAAGAGGCCTTTTGCGTGTGCCTTTTGCACAAAGCTCTGAGAAATACCTCTGAGGTACACATGCGGAAAGCAATGGCAACCAATTATAGCTACAAGGAGGCAGCTTTGTTACCAAACATGCAGAGCCCTAATAGACTCCTGAGGGCCAGGGCTTTAATACTCTGTGATTGCCTGATCCTTGGGCCTTTCGCCTCGACTCTTGGGTCCTAGCCAGTGGCATTATCAGAGTATAGAGAAATAAGCAGGCTGAGGGCAATCAGGTGCCGTGTTTCTGAAAGTTACTACAGCAACAGCTTGGCTTTGGGGACAGCTGAGCAGCTGTTTCCATTCCGCAAGGGAGAAGTTCTTTCAGCGATGAACCATGGAGCTGCTTTCACGATTCCTCCTGACTTGGCAAATTTCAACTGAGAAAGCAATTTGCAGCTGCAGCGAACCAGTGCCGGGATCTTTGGCTGAATGGTGTTGAATTTCTTTGGTGGGAGGAGAGAAGGAGGATTCCAGCTCAGAGAGTTCTGCCCCATATCCATGCTACTTCCATTGCCCCCTTTTCTCTCCCCCCTCTCCCACTTCTCACATACATGCTCACTCACACACACTCTCAGCCCCACTGCATAAAACACGCTTTCTGAGAGCAGGTAAGAATTTTCTTTGTTCGCTATGCAGAACTGAAAGTTTGCACCATGACTAATGAACGGGGAGGGGAGGGACTACGGACTCCGCTTCCTTCAAGCTAGCTCTTGTCTTCTTTTCAGGGCTGTTGCATATTTCCACCACTCAGTTAAACATTAGCAGCTGTTGCACAGTGTTTAGCACAACCCTCAAGAGAAACATCTGAATCGTGAAGTTAGGAACTAATCAGCAAATTGAAGAGCCGCCAAGCTAATCCATCCCAACTGAGGACATTACCTGGAAAATCAGATTTGCGGGAAGCTTCCTTAGGACCATAGAGAATCTGAAGCCACTGGGAAGGATTTGAGATGTGGCAGGGAGGGAGGTTTTTTACTGGAAAGGAAGTAGAAGCACTGAGGAGGGCACACTTTTGGTTATAAAACAACCTGAAATTATTATTATTTAATTGCAACAGCTTTGTTGTTTGTGCAACTGCTTGGTGAACACTTCCTCATCAGTTTCCAGTTCCAGGAGAAGCTTCCCTCTTCTTTGAGTGTGGCTGAGAAAGACAGCAGGCCTGGACGGTGCTGTTACATCCTCCTGTTCTTAGGCACTGGGGCTTCTAGAGAAGCAGGAGTAGCAAATGGTGGGAGGAGAGAAGGAGGATT